GTGAACGGTGTAATGGGATTAGAAATTTTATTTCTTAACCTCAATGCAAGCTAGCATTCACCTTGCTGACATGTGGTTTCAACAGGATGTAGCCATATGATACACAATTCGAGAAGCTATAATTTATTTACAGAAAGAAACTTTTGCGGAAATAATAATTTCACTTGATGTTCCTATTCATTCACCCTGATCCTGCGGCAATTTTTTTGTTAGCTTATATAATTTTAATAAGCCCTTTGATCCAGCTCAATCGTCATTCGAAAAGCTCAAATACTACTTTTTTATCCAAAATGTTTCTCTGTTTTATAGTAAAATGGTCCTTTAATTATGCCAAAATCCCTTCATGGCAGGTAATTTAGAGTCTTTTGTTTTCCGATTGCTGATTGCATTTTGCAGTTTTTGCTTAAGCATCATGGGAAATCTCGCTGCCGGATGACGGAAGTAATTATCATCATCCAACTGGTAAAGTCGTTGTCATCGCTGGTTTTTCCCAAAAAAAAAAAGCGCACGCACTGGGCGCCATCGCCTCGCATACAACGCAAAACTGCAATTGCAATGGCAATTGTGTCGCCTAACATTGACTTAGACGCCGGACTCTGGCGATAAGGTTTGCCTCTGGCTGCGCAGACAAACGAGAAACGACAAAGCTAAAACGAAAGTTGCTCAACTGCAGACTTGGCAATTGATGGCGGAACTTGAAAACTGGCTAACGGTAGCAGGGCCATGGAGAATGAGGATGGGAATGGCGATGGCGATGGCGATGACGATGACGATGCCAATCCATGCCATTATATTGCAATTATGCGAACAACCCCCACGGAAGTGTCCTTCACATCGCTTCGATATTTCCACCCTTGGCGTCGTTAGGACGGTGCGCTCCATGGCGTCATTTCGTTCACAAATTTCGCTTTTGGACAACAATTTATTTGGCTGGCTATCTGAGTTGTTGGTTTTGTTGCTGTTTTCTTGGCGCACGCGACTCAATACACGACGCTTAGCTAGCAACAGAGCCACATGTTTGTTGTCAACAAATATCAGCTCCAATTTTTATGCTGCGTGCCACTAGACGCTAGTTGGCAGCTGCAGCCGTTATATAAAAGATAAAATCGCTGGCCTCACTTGCATGCAGCTCATGGTGGCAGATACAAAAGTATCTGTTAGTTGGGCGCAGTCAACAGCGAGAGCAACAACAAAGGCTATAACTATTGCTAGAGCGTGCGCCTTGTCTTTAGCGACCCGTTGTTATTGCGAGCTATGCAGTTTTTGTCGCAATGTCAAGAAACTTGCTTTTCCAGCTTCAGACGCGGCAACAGATACTTTGAGTCCTTAGCTCACCTAAGCGCGCCTCAACAAATCCAAATCGAACTCCAATACCGATTTTTAATTATGAATACATGAGTAACAGATTGTGTTTGTAAGGAATTTATGCGTGGAATTAATGCTGATGGAATCAATCAATCTAGATTCAATCTCATGTTCCATGCAGTGAGAGCTGATGTTCAGCTTACACTAGTTTCAGTTTCAATCTCCTTGGAATAACTTTTTCCATTAAGCTAATTTCTCATAAACTGTACCGTGGAATATAAAAAATATATATAGTATAATAGTGAAAAGATTCCTTTATAGATTGACTAAAAATCTCTGCATCCACTAGAGGCGTGACAAGTTTAAGATCCTCGTCGTAATTTATTTTGACATATTTTATTTTAGACTAAACGACTGTTGAAATATTTATTGATATATAAATCGGAAACAAGGACAGATTGGAATTGAAAATTGAAATTCTTCGAAGTCCTCTTTCATTCTTTTACACAGCCTTTTCAGTTCGAAATATTGTAAAATGAGATAAATGCTAACAGATTCAGTGATAGCATTTGCTGTTGATATCAAATAACAATCTCCGTGTGCTAGTCAATCTGGGTATTTTTTGGAAGACCCTCGCCCATAGAGGTCAACGCAGCTCACTTAAACTTGTCACATCAAGTGGCTTTGTGCGAAGTCATTCGCCTTTCGCCGAGGTGTGGAGGTGGAGATGTCTGCGTGACCACGAAACTTTGGAAACTTTGGAAACATTTGCATGCTTCGAGAGTCTTGATTTGTGTAAGCAAAACTTTTGTATCTCTGCTATATTGCTCCATTTCCGAATGCTAGTTTTCAAATACATGTGTTGGAATTTATCTTTAAGTAGAAGCGATACACCCTTAAATACGAAAATATATATATTTTCTATGTATACATATTGTTGTTGCTTGTTTGCTAGCCTTATCTTATCAGCTAATCTGGCATACCAAAGGCGCACTCAATTGCCAGTTGTTGTTTCTGATGCTGGCTGGGGCACTGCTCTGGTGCATGTGTTCAGATACTTCAATTGAACCTATTGTAATTAATACAAGTGCGCACTGGCTGAGACATTTGCCAGCAGGGGGAGAACTGGGGAGGGAGGTCTGTCTTTCTCTCTCTCTCTCTCTCTCTCTCTATGTCATTCTCTCTCCCCTTCTAGTGTGTTGTGGACTTCGAGAACTGCGGCTTTTCTGCGGTCTATCAATATAAAAATGCGAAGCCCCAGCAAAACCCGGTGGAAACCCACCCGGAAGTCAAATTCCATTCGCAGTCGAGGCTGCTCTAATGCGTTTCGTTTTCCATTTGCCTCAGTTTGTTTGCTCTTCTTCAAATGCGGGAGCGAGTGCAACAACAACGCCTGTATTTGACAACCCAAAAGATACAAGATACATTCAAGCAATTCCATATCCATTAGCCAAACGTATGGGTGGGTCGGCACGATTTCGTTGGCGCCCTTAAGTGTAGTCAATTAATAACCCAGTCAGCGGCAGTTGCTCTAATGCCTTGTCAAGCATTTGTCACTGCATTCTGACAACTAATCGACAATGGCAAACATTCTTTAAGTGCAGTAGTTATTTTGAATAGCAAACTCGATTTGAATGGAACTTTTATTTTTCTTAAATAGTTATAGCTATAATATATA